GGTTCATTCGGTTTCGGGACTGGTCTTTTGGTGGGCACAACGACTTCAAGCTGATACTGCGAATAAACAGACTGTGGCCGGTAGTAGATGATTTCCGTTTTCCATTTGTCTGGTATCCAACCCAAGATGACAACCTACCACGCCTCAACAGCGCTTTATCCACCTATCTGGATGTTCATATCACCATCAACCACAATGATGTCTCAGCTTTTAGCCGGTGAAAGAACACCTACAGCCTCATAGAAAGTCATTGGACGATTCAGATCTACAGTGGGGCGTGAGCAGATACAATTAGCAGAGTGCGATGGACCTCAATTTCTCTAGAATCTCTGACAGGAGTTACCACACGAACCGCGCAGAGGAGATTATCAAAGGTATCCAATCGAGTGGAGACGCTTCCTCTGAGGCGGTCAATATAATTCACACACAGGCATATCCAGCTGCAGCGTCCCCTGCATCACCAGAGGTGCACTAGCGGAACCTGGAAGAGAGCGCGGGGCAGTCAGTTGAATCGCAGTACTTGGGTCCTGTGTTCTTGTTTCTGACAGACAGTATAAATCAATGCAGATGGAGTTCAGTGTACGAGTAAGAGCCACCTGTTGTCCTGATTGCTTCAATGTGGGAACTTTAAATGTGGCTAAGTCGAACAGTTTTCGGTCGAAAGCAAATTTCGAAGTGTTCAGGACTGTTACTGAAGTCGGACGTACAAAAGCTGTATCTGAGTGTGATGCACGAAGAGCAAAACGGTCAGTCCTAGAGCTGGAACCTGAATAGAGGGTAGTAAATTTGAGTAAGGTAAGGTAGAAGAGGGAAAGCTTGAAAGTGTAAAAACGGAGGTATTTCGAATATGGACATTATTATTGTTCTATATGGTTGCCTGGAATGGTTTGTTCCTCCCAGATTGAAAGCAGATAAGGCGATCCGGCTGGTGACAACACGCGACGGCCGATGTGGCCGATGTAGTGTTAGCAAAACGGCAGTCCTAGAGCTGGAACCTGAATAGAGGGTAGTAAATTTGAGTAAGGTAAGGTAGAAGAGGGAAAGCTTGAAAGTGTAAAAACGGAGGTATTTCGAATATGGACATTATTATTGTTCTATATGGTTGCCTGGAATGGTTTGTTCCTCCCAGATTGAAAGCAGATAAGGCGATCCGGCTGGTGACAACACGCGACGGCCGATGTGGCCGATGTAGTGTTAGCTGTAAGTGCCACGATTGCATGTGGGCTAGGATACTGCCGGAACTTCCAGACCCAGACAGGGGGACGATTATGGTCCTCGACCAAAGACTTTGGCTCAGAAGCCAGACCACATGGCAGCGGTGTATGGTGAGAAAAAATATATAACCGTTCAGCTGTAACATCCTCTCGGTGCCTTGCTGCCATGCCACCTGAAGGAAGCACGAGGGCAGGGATACCGCCCGGTTGCCCAAACCTAGACAGGGAAGTTGTAAGGCAAAGGTCGGGTTCGAACCATGGACCTTCCGATCAGTATATTCGCGCTCTAACCACTGAGCCATCTCGCCCCCTGAGCACCCTGGTGGGAAATGCAAGTGCATTGCCTTTTTATCGGACAAGTCACCACACATGGTCTAACCTATACCCTGGAAGACCAGGAGACTGTGTTGGCCAGACCTCTAACCACAGGTCAACTTGGTATGAGAGACTGTGAGTGTCTCACTAACATTACACACTATGGCTCATTGGGTTGCCGAAGCACACAAACCGTCACACCACGGTAAAGTCCAATCTATTCGTGACGACTGGCACGCATAAGGCTGATGGACAGTGACGTGTTAACCACCCTGGCAAGATGGCATGATTAGTGTCAAGTTGCGCATCTCAGAAGAATCAGGAATTATTAACTGGGGCTCTCCATCGGTAACTGGTAGCCACACAATTCAACTGAGTCCATGATTTTCTTGCTGTTGATGGCCATAATGTGAGCTTTGGCTTGGACGTTTGCACTAGCCAAGGGCAGACCATGATCAACATACAAATGAAGTAGTCGCTCCACATTATCCGTACGCCTAGAATCGAGTCCAGCTTTACCACTTGACTGTGCTTCTTCGGGACTTGGTCTTCCAACGTGGACGTTCATATCACCCGCCAGGATTACTATATCTGAAGTAGTCGCGACGCGGAGCAGACTTTTAGAGGCTGGCAAATGATTATTGTGGTTTATTCTTCTGGGCCATGGTTTAGACATGGAACAATGGCTATGAAACTGGCAGATGAATTATTCGCACTATCATTGGGTGGGGGGGTGGGGAGATGGTGGGAGGGATGGTCGATGAGCGAAGAGCTATAAGTGCGAGTGATTAATCCCAGTCGCTTACGCCGAAGAAAGAGGTTCGGTTAAGCTACCTCACCTAAAACCTTTGACCTAAACGTCTGACCACAACGCAAGCGGGAAGATATGTGGTTTTGTCTGGAGACCTTGCCCCTAACTTCTGATAAGGTTCTGGACCGCGAGGTAGAGGTTGTTAGGGTTCCCTTGGGAGGCCCTTCCCAGTGCCAATGACTCAATGGTCTGACCCACTTAGCTACAAGGGGCGGCCTGGCCCGGCGACGCAGGGAGCAAGGCATTATTGTCTCACTCCTAGTGCATCTGCGCACAGTAGGTACCTTTTGAGCAGCATGGGACTCTTTGGCTTTAAAAGTACTCCGACCGTATTGAACAATGTACCAGCGGTCACGGTTGACCATTGGGCGATCAGAGTGTGAGCTTTTTAGGGTCGACCTATCCTTCTTCAGGGGATGAGCTCACTCCTAATCTGCGCACAGTAGGTACCTTTTGAGCAGCATGGGACTCTTTGGCTTTAAAAGTACTCCGACCGTATTGAACAATGTACCAGCGGTCACGGTTGACCATTGGGCGATCAGAGTGTGAGCTTTTTAGGGTCGACCTATCCTTCTTCAGGGGATGAGCGCATCACTACCTGCATAAATATGAGAATGCTGGTAGCCTGGGTGAAATACCCTACTACATTCATACTCCTGTCACACAGGACAGTGCGACTTTACCTCCAAACCGCCCCGTAATAGGATTACTCACAGTACGAAGACTCGCTGTTCGTCAGACTGCTTCCCGTTGGCCTTCCTGACATGGTTGAAACCTTAGGAACTGTGTTCCAGCTAGTATAGCCCGCAGGATCATTGCATCACAGAGGGCTGGCCATCATGACAAGGTGGCAGCTTTAGGTTGGGTCTAAGATTAACAACACTGTACAGTCATCCATAGTGTGTCTGCAGAAGGACCATCACATATTGCACATACCGCACATATTGCATGCGAGCTAACGCTCCTCTCTCGCCTCCTCTCTCCAGAATGTCCAGGACACTTATTAAAATGTAGTAATCCTCTTCTATATGGCCATATCAATATAGTACAATGAAATATATCTTGGATTCGTTGACTTCTGAGAGACTACCCACTGGTAAAAAACTAACCTTTTGTCCACGAATACAAATTCCTCTCCCTAAAAATATGATAGTAAAAAAAATGCGTCGGTTTTTCTTCCCACCAAAAAGCTTGCCCTCCAGGCGGCTTTGAGCTAGCAGTCCACTCATTTGGACCTACGCCGCAACAAATTCAGTACTTTCAGTGTGTATGCACGCCAAACCCTACAGAGGACGCTATTATGTGCTGTCTACGTAGAACAAATTATTTAGGAGGCACCAAAATCACGGACTGTGTGGAGAGTGGGAATTATGTAACTTCAGTGGAAATACAGGTTTGAGTTAGACAACCATGCAGCGTCAAAAAGCGATTTCACTCCACATCAGTGGCCCCACGTCCCTATATTTGTAAGCAATATCATTGGGTCGAAGTGTGCTGCGGTGTGGTATTATAGGCCAACGTGAGGTAACGGAAAAGAGGTTACTATAAACAAAACATTCTAGAAGGATTGTTTCATCAGAGGAAGCCCTTCCAGTGTTGGAAACAAATACGGCAATAAACATGGTAATGATGTTGTACATAAACTTCTTTCAATATAAAGGTGATATTTGTTATTCTTGAAGGGGACAAATTTACCTTTCACGACTGTAGTTCTTACTGACTGGCAATTATTGTCACGCCAGCTTCAACTGCAGCACAAGTCAAGGTTTATTTAAACCAACTTATAGTAGTTTTCAGAAGGCGGCGAATTTGTGGTTGGTAGTTATTCAGGAAGCGTCCCTTCAAGGTAGAGTTCCAGACTTGGGTTTTGGGCAGATGACTACCAGAACCAAGCACATCAAGACAGCCGTTTGACTTATGCCTGAATCGTTGGTTAGCGCTCAGTGTCCGTTACTTTAATACCGTCCGTAAGCGATACCAGCCAAAACTCTTGATAAATCAAAAATAAAATGATGTGAAGTCACACCCTAAATGATCCTATCGGATTCCTCGATCCGAGAACAATTGGACTGAGGTTGTAACCAACGCTCTAGCTTAGTTCTGGGCGTAACTCACCGGTTTTTCAAACTTTCTCAGACCCCACAGAAATGTGGTAGGTACTGAAGTTATATCTTCAAACAAGTGTTGTCAAATAGGTCGGTCGAACATCTTCCTGTGACGTCCTTACACTGGTGCATTACTGATCCTATCTTGGATATTTTCTATACAACAAAACCAGATCGAAAAAAGCGGCTGTCGAATGAAGACTACCCTCTGATAGAGATCCTTGCAGTGTACTATAAGTAACAGACTTAGAGACGAAAAATAACCTATGTGTCAAGCAAAATGAAGGCGAAAAAAGGACAATTTTTAAACGTTGTCGAACAAAAAATCCAGCAAAGATCACCACTGGAAAGATAAAAGACACTAATGTGAATTCTTGATATTCTATCGAAAAATATGCAGAAAAGGATCAGTTCAGTAGAACTGTATGAGTCTGATGGAATTGCATGGAATTTTCACTGATTTTACGTTCGTTGGCATTAGCAAACCATACACACATTAGGTTAACCAGATTAAATCGGCTGCCGATAAACTAAAATCATATACGTTCAACTTACCCGAGCCTTTTGGTTTCTTTATCCTCGCCCACCGTGTAACAGGTGGGTCGACGATTGCACAATTGATTGGACCAGTGAGGATGTAGCCAAATCACGTGATCAACGTGACCGGCATAAATCATGGGGATAATCCAATCTTCTATACTGGTTTTGCTGCAACACAAGGACGGATGGAGTAGAGCTGGGACGAGTGAACACATACTGAACCAAATCATGAGGATTTTGGCGGATTTCACACGCTTTCAGTGCAGGTGAACCCATATCCGGATGGGAGTCAAAATGAAGCAATTTGATACCAGAGAAAGGGATCCTTTTAGCACCGATCAAACGGTATATGTATGACAGGACCTGAAGTTGCGTCACGTGTGAAAGATGACATGCAATTACCTCATTATGTGCATCCACAACGATAACCGGAATACGTTTGTGAGACATCTGTGGGAAGAGAGCTAAAACATGATACATGAGTTAAACGTCAGCGTTAACAGAATCGTGGCGGGGCAGTTTGAACACCTAATGAACCTCGGTAACTGTCGAGTGAAGTTTACCATTGCGACACCATTGCGGCACAAAAAAGATATTTTCATGGATTGCTTCTGAATGCTTAACGTTGCCGAGAAGATTTTCCGAAGCTGCCACTGGTTCCCCCTTATGGTTCCACCCAATTGGCAGCACAATGGTTGCGAGCAGGAGCGGCTGGAAAGAACTCTGTACGAAGTGACCGGTATAACCGAACAGAAAACGAAGGACCGTAAGAAAACAGTGCGTCACATAAGCCCGTGCCACTCACATGACGTTCAAAGAACAAAGCGCGGGAAGGAATACGGCTAAGTTTAGCCTCTAGTGTATTCGAATAACTCGACGCATTCAGACACTGAACCAAAGAAATGGAATGCACAACAAACGTGAGTGAGGTGAGTTTATTCTCAATCTGTAACCCTTTTCTGGAGCTCATGCGAAACACTGACAGCTTCAAATAATGGATTAGGATGCTGCAAGGATCAGATAGCTAAATGTATGGCTGGTTGCTAATGAGATGGAAATCATGGGAAGATACACAATCCTGAACCCGACCTGTGCCTCGCAACTTCCCGTCAAGGCTTGGGCAAACCGGTAGTATCCCAGCACTCGTGCTTCCTTCTGGTGGCGTCGCAGCTTGGCACCGAAAGGGTGCTACAACTGGTCGATATTTTTTACACCAGCTGGTGTTCAGGCTAGCCTGAACAACCGTTTGAGTCAACGATGCTGCTACTCTACAACGATGATTCCGGGGTGCATATCATCGTTATCAATAGCATGGCATCAGTGTTCAAAACCGATGCTTCACTGCCGTACCGAGGTACATACACCCCTAGACACTCATTCAGGCAATCGGGATGGAAACTGACAGCAAGAACGCCACTGACACACATTGGCAGCCATATTTTGCAGCTTCGCCGACAAAGTGCAGCGAAGATTGAGCGGCCCGCATGTTCAAAGGCAACCAGAATTTTCGCCATCTTTTTCATACCCCGTTGCCTCGTCAAGGGTTGACCACCTACCTGCTTGAGCCACTCTGAATTAGGAGCAGAAAGCAGCACTCTCTTCGGCATACGAGGCACACGAGCACAGCTTCTGGTGCTAGGCACATTCTCCAATGGAAATCGTTGTTGTAGAACCCACTTGTTAGCTGGAAATCCACGCGGATCCCCCTTTACCGCTCGCAGTCAGGTGCTGCTACGGTTGAGGAGTCCATCCCAGGCAAGATTGGCCAAAAATTCGGGACGCTTGCTGGTCTGGCATCAAGCCAAGATCTGATTGGTCGAAAGTCTAGACGCAACAGCCAATCATGACCCAGTGTTGGGTGACGATCTCCAGTGATTCTCCTTGAATTGTAAAGGATATGTTCACAAGCACGCCAAAAGATTATATGATGGCAGCCAGTTTATTCAACAGGGTTTGTGCTTCTCTTTGGTCTTCAAGGATGAGGGCGATGTCATCTACGTCCCCCAACTCGACAAGACAACGATTTGAACGCCGAGGTTTTAAAGACTGTCCAGTGTTCGCCTCATTATTTCATCGATGACGAAGTTAAACAAGAATGGGGAGAGTGGACATCCTTGTCTGACACCACTTTTTGTAGGCAAGCTTTAGGGGAGCTCACCGTACATACTGTAGGGTGAGATTATATTTATGGGGCATACCCTGTTGAGCAAGTGTATTAACAACAGCGGTAAACCGACATAATTAAACGCACCCTCGAGGATTTTGGGTCGTCTGCACTATTGGTGTGTGTGAAGATGTAGTCAACGCAGTAAATACCCGGTGAAAATCATGCTTGATTCTCTGAGTCAACGCTCCGCGTACCACAGTAAGACGACGAAGAATCAATGAAGCCTTGTCACAACAGGCGTCAAATTAACACCGCTTTGGTCACCACATTCACTCCAAAGTGCCCTTTTTGAAAATGGGCACTACTATCGACTCAGCCCAGTTGTCTGGAATGGTCTCTTCCTACCAGATAGGGTCGAACAGGCTAGACAGGAATTGGCTGGGGAGTCCACCGCCATCCTTTAAAAGAGCAGGTGAAAGGTCATCGGGACCAGCAGCACATGACGCTTGGGTACAGAAATGCATTCGGACACATCTGAGGCTGAAGGTAGATCCATAGTTACGGTCCACCCTTTTTGTTGGATGCCAGGATTCTGGATTGGACGTAGCAACTGGTCACCTGAATTGATGCCCGAAGCACTGCGCCCAGCGGTTCAAACGGTCTGCCTTGCTGCTTGTCAGAGAACCAGTTTGGTACCTGATTATTTCGCTGGCAAGAGGTTTCCGAGGATAAGCAAAATGAATCAAGCAGAACAGCTTAAACACGTTTCCAGCATTCTTTGCATCTTCTGTTTATTTGGCACTTCAGGTCCACCAAACTTCTCTGTCCGGGCGGACACTCAGTTTCACCTGACGTCGGATGACGCGCCGAGCGCAGTTGGGATGGTGGCCAGGGGATTTTGTCGCCAAGTTTCCAGGGAACACAGTCCCATCAGAAATTTACTGCTTCGGTGAGATCGGCTGTATTGTACAGCCAAAACACATTCTGACTTTGAATGGCGCCTCGGATATCTTTCGTCAATGGCCGTTTACATTCGACACCGTACCACACGGCAGGCATTCGAGGAGCTGTTTCTAATAGTTTCGTTCGAATTCTGTGTCCACTAGCTTCTTAACGGCTTAGTGAGGTGTGCACTACTTGTGGTGAAAAGCAGCAGCGTACATGTGCGTAGTCATTGTCCATGCTGATGTTCCAGAAGGTGCGGCAGACAGTGATCGGCCCTCTCCACCGATAACTGACGGCGATGTGGTCTGTTTGGATTCGGCGCTAGTTTGATGGTGAGTAGCACACTGTCAAGCAATTTCCGTTGTTCCGGAAATTCGTACTGCAAAGGAACGGTCTGCGATCGGCACACATATTAAGTAAGCGATCTCCGTTTTCCGTGCATCTCGTGTCCAAACCAAGAGGACAACCCAATCGAGCCTCAGCTGCACTTAGTTTACCTACCTGAGCGTCCATATCATCAGTTACCACAACGATATCTTAGCATTTAGCCTACTGTAGAAGGGCACGTATAGCGCCATAGAAACTGTCCGTGGCAGATTCAGAGATAGTTATTTCGGGCTTGAGCAAACATAATAAAAAATGTTCGATCAAACTCACTTCCTCTAGATTCTCTCACAGATGTTACCAAACGTACCGCGCAGGGACGACTACCAAATATACGCAACGAGATCAGCGAGGCGCTGACTTAGGACTTGGCCGCCATTTTTTAACAATGCGGTCATGAGGCCATTCGTGCCAGGAACTCGGCGGCACTCGAAGGAACTACTGTGGTCATAAGCCTCCCAAACCTTATGGAGACAGAGGTTCAGCGTCCATGGGCCATAAACTATAGATGAGTGGCAGTGTGTGTCTACAATAATTGTTGTGGGATGTATTCGGCCAAGCATTTGGGGCTTTCTCCATTCAGGATCGTAGCACTAATTTTACGCCCGACGGTTCCGCTCACCGGTGTTTTCGGACGGCCAAATCAACTGAAATGAGCTCCGGCCGTTCCTCTGTTTTCGGGCCCAGCCCATTACCTTTGTCTTCACTATCCTTCGTGCTTTATATTTGGTGACCTTAACCTCTGTTAATTCGCCAGAACCAAATGGTTTGGATCGATGGAAATCGTTCCTCAATATTCAAGCGGTGCGAATGTTTTGTCTGATATGCGGATATGGTGGTACTTTGCTTCAGGAAAACCATCAGCATGTGCAGAGATGTGGCGTTCCGGCATGTATTCATATCTGACGGTGGAGCAATTGGGGTAAACACCAGAAGACGATTCCATTAAATTCGTCTGGCATACGGATATTTCAGCCTCCCATTTGGTAAGCGATTTATTTCCACTTTACGTGGCTCTGTAAGACTAAAGTAGAAAAGACTTCAGACGAGCGCGTTGTTGGAATCCACAGACGAGTTCTGAAAGGAGCGGCAGTCAGTTATTGGTCGCGCCATCGGTAACTGATGACAAATTAATCGGTTTGGGTTCCCCAAAGCACACCATGTATAGTCAGACCATTCGGGCAATATCAAAAATCTGTACTGTACTGTATAAAAATAGCTTGTGACCAGCACATCGCTGAAACCATCGACCGCCATTACCCCTAACAATCCAATCTATGCTGACCACCTAATAAATTCCCATGCGGCCTAGGTCTACCCACTTTTGCATTTGGGTCTTCGGTAAACGTAATGATATCAAAGCTTCTGGATCGCCACAGCTGGTCACTCACACAACTTGACAGGACGAATAGACAGTGATCTACTTCCTGCTTCTAAGGATCCTTCACGCATGTTGCCAAATCAACGTCATGGAGGCGAATATAAACCGGTGTCCAGTTGACCTAAGATCCTCTATCCAGTGACCTGGGACGACGCCCGCCCTTGCACGTCCTGTTGCTGAAGCCTCTGAATCGCCAGAGGTGTGCGGTCGGAACAGAGTGGAGTGCAACGGGGCAATTAAAATTGAAAGGATTTTGCATCTCCTATCAAACGCTGATGCCTTGCGGTCAGGCTCTTGAGCCAAAGGCTTTGGTTCAGGACCATAATCAACCTCATCTTTAGACCCGGGCACCCTGGCTGTATCCCCACCCGCGTACAGCCATGATGCATACAAATAATACTCTCATGGGGCATTTAGATCAACCACTGTCTTTGTATCTGATCAACCGAAGCTGAAGTGTTATGGAGTAATTCCGTCGATCACTTTGGATGAATTCTCGCTCGTGCCTAGAAACTTCGCAGTCGCTTTTGGCGTCCGGTCAATTTTTCGGGCACTTATCATTCGTCGCAACTATCACCGTTCTCCGCAGTTTTCCTGGAGATTTTCCTGGAAAATAAAATTTACCTCGCAAGTAAGGGCTTTGTTAAGCACGAAGCAGACAATTTACGCACGTGACATGTATCGCTGTTGACAGTTTGGAGAGTATGTAGTACTCCTAAAAGGCAAACCATCCAAAGCAAAGGATTCCTTTGATGAACTTTCATGCAATGAAGAGCCATAGCTTTTCATAGCTTTGCATTTGATCCTAGGAGAGCAGAATCATGAAAAAACGATCTTGCCTTGAGATATGTTTTCTTCATATTTCTTAGTTTATCCCGTATCAAACATCCTGTCATTCAGCACTGCCAGTCACTCACCGCCGTCACTTAAGACAAGTTTTTTGGATAGCAATGATGCATCTAAAGTTCGACGTTAGCTTCACAGTCATGACTGGTCCTATGGCAAATTTAGGGAGCACACACCACGAATGGACATCCGGCCGCACACCGTGTTAAATTTCTCTCATTATAGACCGAGTAAAGAGAAAACAAAACGCGTCCAGTGCTAGTCTATTTGGTGAGATTTTGAGAACCTCTTGTTCACTGTTGGACTTTAAGTTAGGATTTTGAAACCGGCTGTTATTCACTTTTGCCCCTGTAAAATTAACTGGGCGAGAGGAGCTGTCATCTGCCGACAGCTCGACCATCACGACCATCGAGTCTGGTCAGCTTGGTGACTGCCAGCAAATTAGGTGAGAACGTGGCAGCAGTCATCGCTTCCCAACACCATTCTTACCACGTCGTTCTTCTCACATTCTATTGTCTAATCAAACGTGGGGCTATCAGTGCACAGTGATGATAACCATAATACAAATCAGACGGTGTATGCACTAATAAAAGTTTTTAGTATAGTTGCGATACGTACAAAAATAAATACAGTGCGAAATTGCAACGAGTCAAAAAGGGAACTTATCATATGCGGGAGTCCCTTGGTGAAAGTCCGGACGGCGGGAACGTGTTTTCTTCGCAGTATAGCTGCTACACGTGTTCCATGATTGTCCGTGGACTTAAAGGGCTTGGCTGACTCCTTGCTCCCTGCGCGCGCGTGAGTTTATGTGTCCTGACTGGGTTCGGTTTCCCTTTATGTAGGTCCCAGTGCGAGTATGTGGGCGCGTCGGCACATGAGTGGTTGATACGCTGACTAGGCGGTGAAGACAATCGATGTCTAATGAGTCAGCGTAATGCGACGTGTTTGTGAGTATGAGAAAAAAGACAAGCCTCGCGATTCAATGAGCGGCTGTGAGCTGAAAAGTTAAGTATGTGGGTGACTGGTTGCTACGGGGCCAAGCTCCATGACGCATTTTGTGCGTCTCTTTGCCTCACCTAAGCAGAAACTTGAAATTTCTCCTTCGCCTTTCTGTGACGCAATTTATCCGTCGCCGCTCGCCTTGATCAACTGAGTACGGATTGCCGGAACTTTTCGATAGCTATCGAACTGTCGACAGCATTCCCTATTGCCCAATCCTCTAACAGAACGTCTGCACGAAGCTATCAGCCACAGATGGCTCGATTCTTTTAAGTGCAGCTTAAATCGTATTTTTTATTATATTTTTATGTACCGTAACTGTTTCTTCTACGTTTGGTTGGTCGGGCACTTACCGTCAGGTACCAGGAACAAACAGAATCACCAGCGTTTGTATGTTGTGGTAAAACATTGCAATTTTCGCGGATCCCCACAAAAAGCCATCATTAATTTTCTTGGACATATCAACGGATGTGGAATCGCCCTGTATTTTTGCAAAACCGGAGCTAATTTTCCTGGTACGTTGCTTGCGTTCCAGAGCGACCACCGAATCCCCCATGGTCTGCTCTACCGGTCCCTTCTACCTATATTAAAACCCGTCTTTTCGTGATTCCTCGTTAATCGGTCGTAGCAACTCTGCTTTTCAAGATTTAATTCATCGTATAAGATTAAACTATGTGAGTGGCAAGCGCATTTGGGTTTGAACACGACGTACTCCCGCGACGAGCTCCATGTTCTTGTGGTTTCGCGCATCTCTTTAGGTGAAGTGATACGTCGTAAAAAACCGCAAGGTAACGCGACATTCAAATTTTTTCATATGAACCGAATGGTTTTTCAAAGCTTATTAAATATCGAGGGTTGTTAACTTCATGAGGATTCGTTATCATCTCTGATATTATTACTTACACGCATATACCACATTGACTGTTAGTGATTGTGCCGTAAGCGCTTGGTGTGTACAAGTTGTTTCAC